AGGGCATTTTTCTATAGATGTCTGGCAGTTGATGCTGGTCAGCAACTTCCAGCCATGGACCAGGGTCTGTCTGTAGAGTGGGGCTTCCTTGCAGCATGTGGTATCTTTGGGTAGTCAGATTTCTTACAAAGTAGGGCTCTAGAAGCTGCTCTAGCACACAACAGAAGCCACTCATCTCTGACTAGACTCATACTCTGGCAGTGAATCAAAAGACTTCCTAGATTCAGGCAAAGAGAGGTCTCAGTGGGAAGTGGAGAAGAGCTTTTGGGATGGGAGGTGCTGTGTCAGCATGTTTAGAAAGTAAAGTATATGCACCATTCATTATATCCTCAGTGCTGGGTAAATAATAGATGCCAGTAAATATTTATTTAATAAATAATAATTACTCTGATAGGTTTTCACAAACATCTCTCTTGCATAATAAATATTTTTTAAATTTATTTCATGTGTGTGTGTGTGTGTGTGTGTGTGTGTGCATGAATGTGCCATGGAATGTGTGTGGAGGTCACAGGACAACCTCTAGGAGTCTGTTCTCTCCTTCCACTGTAAGGGTTCCTGGAATCAGTTTGTCAGGCTTTGTCCTAGTTTGTTTCTCCATTGCTGTGACAAAACACTCTGACCAATACCAACTTGGGGAGGAAAGGGTTTAAATCTCCCAGGTCACAGTTCATCAGGGAGCCCAAGGTAGGAACTCAGGACAGGAACCTGGAGGCAGGAGCTGGAGCACAGGCCATGGAGGAATGCTGCTTACTGGCTTGCTCTCCTGGCCCCTGCTCAGCCTGCTTTCTTAATGCAACACAGGCCTACCTTCCCAGGGGTGGCACCACCCACAGTGGGCTGGGCCCTCCCATATCACTCAACAATCAAGAATGCCCCGTGGACATGGCCATAGGCCAGTCCAGTGATGGCAAATCCCCAATTAAGGCTCCTTCAACCCAGGTGTGTCAAGTTGACACTAAAGCGATCCAGCACAATTGACCCCTTGTCAACTTGACACACAAACACATCACTATTAAACCATAACCTTTCCAATTCTTGTCCCCAAGATATGATATTAATAGCACAACATAAGACAGTATATCCTTAAAAGCCCCACAGTCCTTAAGAAATCCAAACACTGAAAAATCCATAGTCTCTTTTAAAAGTCTCTTAACTGGGTGGGCTTCTGTAAAATCCAAAACAAGTACTGTCTTATTTCAAAGGGAAGACTTGGGCACACCTAAGCAAAACCAAAGTCCAGTAAAGTAGCTCAAGGCTGGACATCTGGGATTCACTCATGATCTTCTGGACTCCAAAGGTTTCTGGCAGCTCCACTTCTCTGACTCTGCCATCCACAGCACACATAGCTCATCTCGCAGACCCAGGCCAACTCCATTCCAAACCTACTGCGGTCCTTGGTGGTCGTCCCATGGTCCTGGCATCTCCAAAGAGCTGGGGTCTCCACCGAAACTGAGGCTACACCTTTACCAATGGCCCCTTCTTGCTTCTCTGGGTGCAAAGCCTCAGATTCTCTCCATGACCCCTTCAGTCCTGGGTCTTCACTGCAACTGAAGCTGCACTTTCACCTATGGCCTTTCCTGGCCTCTCTTAGTGCCAAGCCACAGCTCTCTGTGACCCCTTCACACTTTTAACACGAGAACCATGCAGGAGACTCTTACACATTACCAAGCCCTGCTTCTAGCTAGAGATGGAGGTTCAGGTCCCCTCTGTCTGCTGACCCTGAGGAAATACCTCCCAGAAGATTTCACCACAGTGATGCTGGTCTCTTGTTACTTACAGCTGATCTTGCAGCCCCAGCTAATCAGCATCAATTGTCCCAGCAAAGCAAAAGCCTTACTTCAGATTCTGGTCTCTTAATCACAGCTGATTCTTCAGCTCCAGTCAACCAGAACCCACAGATTCTCAATTCAAAATATCACACAAACAGCCCTGATAGTCTCTGCTTCCCTTTGAAGTTTCACAAGCCAGACCTCTGTCATCTACAGCTCTTTCAAGCAGAACTGTTCCAAGCTCCACAGCAACAAACTCTAAGTACTCAATGGCTTTTCCAGCCCAAAGTTCCAAATGCTTCCACAATCCTCCTTAAAACACCAAGGTCAGGTCTGTCACAGCAATACCCCACGCTTGGTACCAACTTCTGTCCTAGTTTGTTTCTCCATTGTTGTGACAAAACACTCTGACCAATACCAACTTGGGGAGGAAAAGGTTTATTCGGCTTACCTTTACTCACTGAATCATCTTGCCAGTCGCATCTCTCCTATAATTTTTATAACAATCCAATGTGCTGAATATTTTCAGCTTCTTAACAGATGGGAAAACAGAAACTTAGATACTCTTGCACCTTTTTCTTTTTGTTGAGATAGGGTCTCGTGTATCCCAGGCTGAAGATGACCTTGAACTTCTGATCCTCATTCCTCTATCTCCCCACTGCTGGGATAGAGGTGTACTCCACCAGGCCCAGCTTTTGTGGAGCTGGGGGACCAACCCAGGGCTTCATGCATGCTGAACAAATGCTTTGTGAGTATTTAGAAAGCAGGGATGCCCTGGTCATGTTAGAGAAGGCTTCCTGTGGGAGGTGGTAACTGAGCTGCTGTCTTGATGAGGAATTAGGTAGATGAGAGCTGAGAGAGGAACAGGAGCAACTGCAGAGTATCTTATAATGCTGGAAATGGTATGAGTCCAGGGGAATGGTGAAGGATACAGAGATACAAGGCCCAGAACAAGAAGGGTCTTACATGTCATTGCTAGGGTTTCCATGTTGGTCCTTTAGGGATGGAGAGCTACTGAAAGCTATAGAGCAAGGAGTAATCTCCAGCAAGAAGAACTAGCTGCTTTTTCAACATCAGGAATGACTTAATAGGTATCTTAAATGTAACGTGTTCCAGATATTCCCCAGCATCTACTGTTCCTTCTTTCCTCTATGTCAGTGAATGACAGTTTCATTCTTTGAGTTGCTTCATCTAGTCAGCCTTGACATATCTCTTCTCATACTCCATAATCAGTCCTGTTGTTTCTCCCTTTATAATATACCCAGCATGTATCTGCTAGTTACTATTCCGCTGCTACTGCCCTAATCTAAGCTACCATCCTCTCTCAACTGGATGACTACAGTAGTCTCCCTCCCACTCTGTTTGACCACTTCTTCCCTCCTACATGTTTGTGGCACAGAGGCAGGGATCTTTCTAAAAGTGAGATCACATTACTTTCTCATGGCTCCCTGAGAGCCCTTATGGTGGCCACAAAGCACTATAAATAAGTCTGGCGCCTGCCCGCCTGCTTCTCTCCTTCCTTCCTCTGCTCAAGCATACAGGCCTCCTTTTTCTTCCTTGGGTCTTGTTGACTTCTTGCTTTGGAGCCTTTGTGTTTGCTGTACTGTTGCTTGGAATGTTCTTTCCCAAGGTATTCATACCAGTGGCTCCTCTCTTCCCTGAGAACTCTGCTCATGGACTTTCCCTAATCACCGTAAGGAAAATTGCAGAACTTCTCTGCCCTCTTTTCCGTACTTGATTTTTTTTTTCTGCATAGATCTACTCTATCTGAGACTACATATTTACATCTTTGTTTACTATGTGTCTCTTTCCTGACATTTAAGCTCTAAATGGTAGGAACTTTGCTTCGTTCACTGCTCTATCTCCAAGGCATAGAATGCAAGTGACCACTTAGTAAAGTTTTGTTTTTTAATCTATTGTTTTTGGACTGACTTACATTTTAAAACTTCTCTGTGGCAGCATCATGGATAATGAAAGTGAGAAGAGAGTACTAAATGACACTTGGGATTGAAATAGGCCAGTCAAGAGATTTAGAGAGCATGAAGTCAAGACGTACGTGGGAGGGAGAGCTGATGAGTCTTGGCAACTCACTGGATAGGGAGAAGTAAAGGGTAATGACTCCCAGATTTCTGGCTTAGGTGGTTGGAGCAACTGATGAAGCCATGGGGATGAATAAAACAGACCAAGGAGAATACTCTGGGTAACCAGCCACATGCCATGTCCCAGGAAACCTCTCAGAACCAGGCAAACTGTGGTAACTGGTCACACAAACACGTAGAGTAGAAGATGGCAGCTAAGGAAAGGAGGGTGCAGGATGTCTGCACAGGAGGAGGGCTAGGTAGCAGGAGGCTTCATGGGCATGGCTTTATAGAATCTAAGAGGGGCTTTTGGAGAGGAGAGTGGTCAACAGTGAGGTTGACTTCTCTTTGAAATTTTAAGCTTCTGTCTGTCTTTGACAGAAGTGTGGCATGTTAGAGAAGCTTGATATATATATCTCTTGAAATAAAGACACAAATTATATGTTGCTTTTTATTGTTGTTGTACTCTGCATTATTGAGGGGAGTCAACTAATATTTGTTGATGGTAAGGGTAAAAATGAGTAACGATTTTACTAAAAGCTTTTTGTGTGTGACTTTCAGGTTAATGAATGTTTAGGATGCTGGGTAGTATAAGTAAGCCATTATTTTCTGGAGTTATAAAACAATTGATTCTAGGTGATTAAGTAATATGTACATAATAGCTTGTAATGTTTTTGAGTAATGAACTCTTAGAATCTAAAGTAAACCCCAAATTGTCATCCACCACCCCACTTCCCAAAAACACATGTACACTTGCTGATACATTGAAGGTAGAGACTTGTAGATAACTGTCAATTCTAGGTGACAAGAACTGTTGACGTAGTACAGCGCTCCTGTTTTGCATTTCAAGATATTTGAAGCCTAGAGAAATTTATTCTGAATCCCGTAACTAGATAATGACTGAGCTTATTCTTAATTCAGTATTGTGTCAGCTACTTATCATTGCCATTGTTTTAATGCAGAGTCTGTCCCTCTTGGTGTATTACTAGATTGAGCTCAGTTACTTTCTGGGCCACTGAGTCCACTCAAACAAGTTGACTCCAGTCAATTGATGGCCTATGAAATTTCATGTATCTCTCTTCTGAATCTTGAATTAAGAATTGATGATGTAAGAATGCATACTAATGAATTGCTTTTGTCTTGTTGGGAACAGGATGCTGTATGATTATGTTGAAAGGAAACGGAAGGAAAATTCAGGAGCCCAGCTGCATGTCACCTATTTGGTGTCTGGCAGTCTTTTGCAGAATGGACATTCCGTAAGTTTTCAGAATCTAACAATGAGCTTAAATGTGAGCACTGTCATGGCGCACACAGGAGAAAGAAACCAGATTATTAGGGAAGCTTTAAAACACTACTTGAAGAGAGTGTTTTGGAATTTAAATCTAAAATTCAGAAAAGTTTAGGTGCTCTCCTGGCTGTGATGAAGAGACTAGCTTTAATATGCAGTTATCTAAGAAATAAGGCATTAGAGCATTGTCTTCCTTAAGCCTCTTTTTCTTCTTGACTGTAAATTGGGGATAATGGTAATTTTGGTGGTTGTTGTTTCTGTTGTTTTTTTGACAGGCTACAGGGTCTCATGTAGCCCCAGCTGGCCTAGAATTCAGTAATGTAGACCAGGCTGGCCTTGATCTTACAGAGAGCTGCCTGCCTCTGCCTCCCTAGGGCTGGGATTAAAGGCCTGTGCCACCATGCCTAGCATGTCAGTGGTAATTTTTATCCTGTTCAGATTTCAAGCCACAAACCAGAATGTTTTAAAAAGGAGAAAAAAAAAAAAACCCTGACTTTATTTTAAAGTTGAGCACTCATTTTGGTATGCCACTTAGAGTGACTAGCCAGTAGGGGATATGCTTGAAGCTGAGCTGCTGATGCAATGTGGAGGTGTGGGCTGGGAGCATGTTTATGTTCCTACATCTTTTTCTACATAGTCTCCCTGGCATCTGTTTATCCATCAGCATAGCTTACTGTTGGGTTTTCATCCTCTCAACAACAAAGCCTTCTCAGGTCTGCTGACTTCTCTGAGTGGCTTGCATATCCTTTTTAGGGATGGGCACAGGTTTTACTGTTCCTGTGCCTTGACCAGCACCAGCAGCTCTGCTGTCTTTTTCATATCCTGCACCAGCCTGAGCCCTGGGAGCTCTCGTACATCCCCTACTCTGCTTCATTTCAGATGTCTGGCATGCCTTCTCTGTTCCCAACTTTCTTAGACCTATCTAAAGATTTTTAAAATATTTTATTATTTTTATTTTATGTGTACAAGTGTATTGCTTGCATGTATGTGAGTGCACCTGTGTCGTGCAATGCAACGGAGGTCATAAAAGGGCTTCAGATTCCCCTGGAACTGGAGTTAAGGACTTGTAGCTGCCATGTGGGTGCTGGGAATCGAACCCGGGTCCTCTGCAAGAGCAGTCGGTGCTCTTAACCCCTGAGCCATCTTTCCAGCCCCTGAAGATCATTTGTTTTACTACCATCAATCCCATGGCACTTGGCCCAAGGATCAGGGCCCCTTCTCAGAGATCATTAGAATGTTTTTTTTTCTTCCCTTTTGACTTTCTTTCAAAATTTTAGGTTACAACTGAAATATGACTTTTTAAAAATTGTTATCTTTATTTTATTTGTGTGTGTATTTTGCCTTCGTGTATGGAAGTACACCAATGCATACATTGCCTGCAGAGGCCAGAAGAGGGCGCCAGATCCCCTTGATGATTGTTAGTTGCCATATGGGTGCTGGGAACCAAACCCAGGTCCCCTGCAAGAGCAGCCAGTGCTCTTAACGGATGAGCCATCTCTTCAGCCCCTGGATTTATTTTTGAACAAGAATCCCAAGATGTGAGATTTAAAATTGTAAAAATATGAAACTGATCTCATCCCTATATTCTCTAACCAGAATTTTCTTTCCTGTTGGCAAGCTGTTTGGCAGGTCACATGATATGGCATCTGATGTCATTAGATATCCACAAGAAATTTGAGCAGACTCAGTTCATTTACTCTCAGATAAACGTGCCACTGGAGTTCTCTCCCTGTATTGTTTTCAGGGGTGACTGCCATTTTTTTCTGTTTCTAGTGGGTGTCTGTTTGTTTGTTTGTTTGTTTGTTTGTTTAGAGAAGGTCTCAGCCTGACAACTCAGACTCACCCTGAATTTTCTGTGCTTCCAAGAATGGCTCCCAAGTGCTGGGATTAGAGTTACCATCCCTGGCCTGTCTTTCCTCTACTTACATCATTATCTTCAAGTTAATCATTATCAAACTTTTACCTTGGAGTCATTGTATTCCTTTAAAATAATAGGTTAAGAGTATCTCTAATCTGGGGCTGGAGAGATGGCTTAGTGGTTAAAAGTACTGACTGCTTTTGCAGAGGAACTGGGTTTGATTCCCAGCACCCATATGGCCGCTTTGAACTGTCCTTAACTCCAGTTCTAGGGGAATCCGAAGCCTTCTGACCTCTGGGGCATCGCACGACATGGGTGTGCACACACACATGCCAGCAATATACTCATACATATAAAATAAAAAAAATTTTTAAAAAAGTATCCCTTATCTGAAATGCTTAGGACCAGAAGTATTTTAGATTTTTTTTCCCCAATTTTAGAATATCTACACATACATATGTCTAGGGAATGACAACCAGGTGTTTGGTACATGCCTATAATTCCATCATTTGGGATGCTGAGGCAGGAGAGCTAAAATTTTGAGGCTATGGCCAGGTGTGGTGGTGGCACATGCCTTTAATCCAAGCACTCAGGAGGCAGAGAGGCAGGTGAATCTCCGTGAGATTAAGACCAGCCTGGTCTACATAGGGAGTTCCAGGCCAGCTGGAGCTACAGGGAGACCCTGTCTCAAAAGCAAAATACTGAAACTAAAAAAAAAAAAATTTTGAGGCCAGCGTGAGGTACATAGCAAGATCCTCTCTCAAAAAAAGGCAGAAACTGTTGAAGGCCTTGCCATCTGTCAGGCCTGTGGTTTCCGATGTTGAACTCCCTGAGACAGTCACCTTGACAGGGGTCTGCTGGATCAGAGCTCCATTTCATTGTGCGTTGTTTCATTTCTACCGTTGTTGCTGTGCATTTTCCATATCCGAGGCAGAGCAGCACTTAGCTGCACTCAACTGCCTGGCTCTCCAGATTTTTTTCCTTAGGTATGAATTACTGTTAAGGTTCTTACTACAAATCTACACAGTTCATGAATGGTTAGTTCCTAATGCATTTTTTTCTCATAAGCCCTGTAATTTTTAGTGTGCAGTTTTGCTCAATGACATTTTTTGGAATGCTTTTGTGTATATGTGTTTGTGAGCATGTAGGCATTGTGCAGGTGCATATATGTGTGTATTTGTGTTTGTGTATATGCATGCATGTGTACATGTAAGTATGGAGGCCAGAGGTCAACCTTGGGTGTCATTCCTCAGGAGCTGTCCCCCTTGTTTTTTGGTCTCTCACTGGGACCTGAGGCTCATTGATTTGCCTAGACTGGCTAACAAGTAAGCTCCAGGAATTTTCCTACATCCACTTCCCCGGTGCTGGGATGTAAAAATGTGTGCCCATGCCCGGCGTTTTACAGTGGTGCTGGAAATTGAGCTAGGGCCTCATGCTTTTGTGGCCAGCACTTTACTGACTGAGTTATCTCCGCAGATCTGTCTAATTAAGAGAAAAATACAGAAACATAGATGTTTTTATGTACATTTCAATCTTTCATCCATTTAACATTTATGCTGGTATGATATTTGATGGACAGATCTAATTTTTATCTAGTCTCATAAATAATGTAGTAATTATCTTTAAATCAATAAAAATCTTCCTCACACTGATTTGAGATGCAGTTTTATTTCATTATAATATTGATGCTTTCATGAATTCCCAAGGGTACAGCTACTTAAGACTGTGGTTCATGACCCCTAGTCTCTTAATTACCTAATTTTTTGAGAAATGTAAAATATGCAAATTGAAAATAAGTTCGACTGTTTTGAACCATAACATATTTTAAGGGTACCCAGTGCTTTCCTAATTTCATACCTAAGCACAGTTGAATTACTGTCAAGGAAACTTCAAAATGACAAGTTTCTCCTACCTTGCTGTTAATGAAGTATTACTTCCTTGCAGTGCCACAAGGTTGCAGTAGTGAGGGAAGATGAACTGGAAGGTAGGTGTTCCAGCAGTTGGGTATCTGAAATGTTAAAACCTACCTATATCTGCCTAACTTCTCTATTTTGGGGGGTGGGGGGACCTTTTTCAGACAGGGTCTCCCTATAGCCCCAGCTGGCCTGGAACTCACTATGTAGACCAGGGTGGCCTTGAACTCACAGAGATCCTCCTGCCTCTGCCTCCCAAGTGCTGAAACTAAAGGTGTGTGCCACCACACCCAGCCTAACTTCTCATTTTTAAGGGCAGTAACTGCTGACATTTATAAAGTACTTTTATCACAGGATTTCAAGCCTCCTGACAGATATTCAAAAACTTTCATGAATTCTGTGTGGCACAGGTACTTAGACTTTGGTTCACGACCCCTCCTAGGGGTTGTAAAACCAAATCTGGGGCTTTCGAAAATTTGACAGCAGTAAAAGATTACTGAATGCATAACAACCAAAAAATTAATTCAAAATGCAAGGTTTTTGTGGCAGTGTTCACCTGCATGGCATCGTGCAGCTGCACTGCAGTCTTTGCTCTCAGCATGCAATGTGCTCTTGGCATTCACATGTCGTCCTGTCATGCACACCAGTGAACACTGCCAATACAGCTCAGCTTAGACCTGACTATGTTGTTAGTTAATATCTTTACTGTATTACAAAGTTTTATGCTCTTATAGAAGCATAGTGACTTAAATATAGAAAACAAACAATGTTTCCTACCATCATTCTATAGCATGGTAGTTTCAAATTGTGTCTTTTTTGGATTGTATTATGTTAGAATATTTGGTTCTAAAAATGGCTGAGGTGCTACTTGAGTTTCATAAAAAAATCATTCATTGATTTTTGGCTTGGATTAGGATAGAATTTCCAACAGTTTCTGAACTGGCTTAACATACTTCTTCTATTTTGTGCTGTATATTTCTGCAAAGCAGTGGCATTGTCAGCATTGATGGTGGGAAAGTCAAAATATCAGTTAAGTCTAAAAAACGTGAAAGATGGTCTGCCCTCTGCGGTATCAAATAATCAGCCAAGATTAATTTCTTTGTGTAAAAATAAATTAGCACATCCATATCATTAGTATGCAATTTGCTTTCATCTTTACTAAATTTCTTTATGCTTTATTATTACTGGGTATTTGATTTGTCTATCTATTGTGTACGCAGGGTTGTGTAAAAGTTTCTTGGACAAAAAGGGGTCATGAGTGGAAAATGTTAAAAGTCCTGGCTACATGTAGTGGTTATTATGTACCAAGCTCTGTGCTAGGCACTGGGACATGGAACAAGTTAGGCACAGGGCCTTCCCTTGTGGATCTCAAAATTTGTTCCTGTGATGGTCTTTTGGTTTTGCTCTGCAGACTTATCTCATTAGTAATAATTTTCTTATATAGTTATTTTCTCTAAACTGAAATTGGAGTACATAAGTCTTCAAGGGTAGAGGTTACTTTTGTTAACTATATATGCTGGTGTAAGGTTCTTCTCTGGCTACAAAAAATCATCAGTCATTAATTAATATTTGCTGGGTGTCCACTGGATGAATGATACACTCACAGGTGCTGTTCTTAGAAGTGACTCACCACCCTAATGCCCCCATTGCAGGCAGAGTTGATGTTGTACTGTTTATGTGGCTGCTTAGCCTTTTAGAGTATTTGAACCACCACAAGATTGTAAATGGTTTTAATGCAGAAGGGTTTTTTGTTAAAGTTCCCACATGCTATGAAGTTTATGTATTAACAGACTGCTTTTCCTGTTGACTTGTAGCAGTGAAGTCCAAGCTAGCTGTGACTGCCAGCATCCATGTGTACAGCATCCAGAAAGCTATGCTAAAGGACAGTGGGCCTCTGTTCAATACCGACTATGACATCCTTAAAAGCAACTTGCAGAACTGTAGCAAGTAAGCTTCTTAATGTTCTCGTGGGCTTCTTTACGAATTGATTTTGTAAGATGTTTACACAGTGGCTGCCTCTTAAGAGTGAATGCCAAGTCTAGTAAAACCCCATTTATCTTGTAGCAAGACACATGCCTAGTTTTATTAGTACATCATAAGGTGAAAAATAGCAGCCACAACCCATATTGAAAATCCCACTGGACTCCCCATAAATCTGTTTCTCATATATTTACCCTGTCATCACCACCAGAATGTTTGTTGTGCCCCTTCACAACTCCCTTACCCCAATCTCTGCTTGTCTAAATCTTACCCATCCTTTAGGAGCTGGTTCAAATGTCCTTCAAAAAACGCGTCATAAATTTGATAACCCCCTTTCTTCCATCCAAAAGCAATGTTGCCTGGAGGCTCCATAGCCAAGATCAGTTCTTATAAGTCCTCTTGTGTTCTCTACAGCCCTGGATGGTGATGGACTGTAATGTGTGTGCATTTTAGAAATTGATGATCATAGATTTTAGTTGTATTTTGCCACTAATAGTCCATTGGTTTTGGACAAATTACTTAATACTCTCTAGCTTTGGTTTCTTCATCTTTAAATCAGTTGTGATAATTGTGAGATAGTACTAAGGGCTCAAGTCAGTTCTCCAAACATATACTTGCATATCTACCACTTCAACACATACTAAAAAGATAACTTGAATTCGTTTAGCAAATGTCTGATGTGAACCACTGACCTGCTACATACTAAAAGTGGTGGCCTGTAGGAGATAGTTGCAGTACAGTGCTGTCTGTCATAAGTGGAACAGTGTAAGAAGGGGGCATTTATCCCCAACTTCTGGATGCCAAGACAGAGGCAGCTTCCTAAACTTAGGACATCTAGTTTGAGACCCAGAGGCCCAGTAGGAATTGCCAGGTACAGAAGTGAGAGAGCTGGAGCTGAGAGAAGTGTGGCACCTGTATAATCATCATTGTGTGTGGCTGGAACATAGGGAGAGGGCTTGGAACGGAGAAGACTGGAGTCAGATGGTTCTAAGAGGACTAGCACACAGTTTAGACTTAATTCTGAGAACAATCAATTCTCAGTAAATATTTTTAAGCAGATGAAATTAGACCTTTCACTTCAGGAAAATGGCAAGGTGTGCTATCATACACATGTAATCCTAGCACATGGGTGGCAGAGGCAGGAAGATCAGAGGTTCAAACAGTCCTTGGCTGTTTGAGACCCTGTGTATGGCCACAGTGTCGAAAGCAGAATAGAGGGAATAATCAGGAGACATGGTCTCGAGACAGGAGAAATGCTGCTGTGGTCCACGGTGCAGGTCGCAGTTGCCTAAAGTAGAGTGATGGTGCTAGATGGAAGGGTCCGAGAACTGAAAAGTCATAACCATTGAATCCTCGGTGTGTGGTAATAGTTGTAGACAGGGTGGGCCGGGGACTCTGGTGTGCTAAGGAGAATTCCATGTTTCTGGATGGGCAACTGAGTACTAAGAAGGGGAATCATAAGAGAAAGAGGGTGTTTTAGAGAAGAGAGAAAAATGATGGATTGGGTTTTGGACATCTCAAGTAAAGGATGTTCCCTCTGATAGATTGATAGATGAGTCTAGAGGTAAAAAGAATGATTCTAGATTTGGAAAATAGGTACGTGCCTGGGCCAGAGAAGCAGATAAAATTGTGAAAAGAGTATATAGAATAAATAAAGCTCTGGGACACAGTTACTAACTGTATGACCTGGGACAAATTATTTAACTTTGTGATTCAGCTTCCTTATCAGAAAATGGAACTAATAATAGTACAGCCTCGCATTTAGTAGGAGATTTAGTGAATTAAAATATATAGAGCTCTTTCAACAGCATTTGGCATATAGGAAGCACTATTTGATGGTACTTTTTTAGGAGATGGACAAAAAAAGATCAGTCCAAGGGGACATATCCAGAGAAAAGGAAAATTATGAAAATATGGGATTCCAAAAGCTGAGGAGAGAGTTTCAAGAAAGAGGGACTGGTGGACAATGCCAAATGCTGCTGAGAAGCAAGTCAGAAGGGAATGGAAAGGGTCCATTGGGTCTAATGATGGCTTGCTTATTAATTAATTAATTAATTAATTAATTTTTGTCCTTTTTTTGAGGCAGGGTCTCCCTGTAGCCCCAGCTGTCCTGGAACTCACTATGTAGACCAGGCTGGCCTTGAACTCAGAGATCCACCTGCCTCTTCCTCCCAAGTGCTGGGATTAAAGGCATGCACCACCACACCCAGCTTTTTTTTTTTTTTAATTTATTATTTTAGTTTTATGTGTGTGAGTGTGTTGCCTGCATGTATGTAGGTGCACCTGTGTCATGCAGTGCCTTTGGAGGTCAGAAGAGGGCATCAGATTCTCCTGGAACTGGAGTTATGAACAGTTGTTAGCCTCCCTGCCATGTGGGTACTGGGAATTGAACCAGGATCCTCTGCAGGAGCAGCCAGTGTTCTTAACCACTGAGCCATCTCTCTAGCCCCTAGTAATGGCTTTTGAGTGTTTCAGTGCAGTAGCCAGATGGGTCCAGTTGAGTAAGTAGGATGTGAAGAAATAAGACAGCTAATGTGGACAACTCCATGTCCAGTTTTAGAGCTGAGGGGATGTACTTCAATGGTAGAGTACTTGCTTAGCATTCATAAGGTCCTGGGTTCAGTCCCCAGCATTGCAAAACAACAGATGTAGTGATATGCTTATAAGTCACAGCATTGGTGATGCTAAGGCAGGAGGATCACTGTGAGTTCGAGGTCAACTTGCTACATAGTGAGGACCGGACCAGCCAGATCACAGAGCAAGACCCTATCTCCAAAAAGAAAAAAAAAGAATTCATAAAATACAGTTGAGAATGACTTAAGTAGTATTGTTAAGAAAGAGATAGAGAGGAACTATTTGAAGATAATAGAGAGGATGGGATAATTGTTAGAGAGATCCTTGGAGAAATAAATAGAAAATTGCCAGCCAGAGTTTAAGTTCCCTGTGAATAGGAACCCTGTTTGTTAGCTGCTTCTCAGAAATGGTGCCTGGTACAGAGTAAACAGTCAGTAAATAATTGCTGAATTAATAATAGACATTAGTTCTTTTTAGTCTTCTTAGTTCAAAACTTTGAATATAGTAAGCACTCAAATGTTTATTAGATTAAATATATAGCCAGAGGATAGTAATTTACAAGTCTAGTGTCTTTTAAGGAAGGATTTCAAGAAAACATTAGCACTGCTAATTTTATGTAAAATATTTTTTTGGTTTAAAAAATGTGTATTAAAATCTTGTGGCATGTCAGACGGTTGACCCATTATATGTAGATGGCAGATAAGACCAGTTGTACGATGTCTAGGAAGTAAGCAAACAGGAAAAAAAATGGCTCAAAATTTTAAAGAAAAAAATTGCCTTGACTTAAAAATAACTAGGACATATGAAAATGTGGTAATAGGAATTTCTTTACTGAAACTCTATCAATACTTTAAGATATTCATGGTAGAAATGTGAAGAAATGTAGTGGTATATACCTTTAATCCCAGCACTTGGGTGGAGGCAGGAAGATCAGGAGTTCAAGGTATCCTCAGTTACTTTAGGGAGTTTGGAGCCAGCCTGGGCTACATGAGATCTCAAGTCCTGGTTTCTTTTCCTTTTGCTGGTGTAAAATACCCTGGGATTCAAACCCAGGTCTTCTGCAAGAACAGCCAGTGCTCTTAACTGCTGAGCCATCTCTCCAGTCCTATTTTCTCCTTTTTTTGTAGTCGAGTATTCCTGTACAGGGAATGGTGCCACCCACAGTGGTTGGGTCTTCCACCTCAGTTAATTAAATCAAGACACCCTTAGAGGCATGCCCAGAGGCCCATCTCCCTGTGATTCTAGATCTCCAAGTTGACAGTTGAGATTAACCATTTCACCCTGTCTGGGAAAGACAAAACAAAAAAATCACAGAAAGGAAAGATAGAAATGAGAAGAAAGAAAAGTGAAGAATTTCTCTCCAATAAAGAAGTTTGTATTTAGTCCTGAGAATTATGGGCCACATGAGCTCTGACTCATGACTTTGTGTTTTAAGGAGTGCTGTGACAGGAAGAAAGGTGAAATTTCAGGATTGAGCAGAGATTCTTGTTAGGAATGTTCCAGCCTAACTTGGTCCCTTTCTTGTTGCAAGTTGCTGTCCTGACCCTGAGGTATGGAATGCAGATCAAATAAAGAAAGAGTTGTCTCAGGGCCAACTTTAGATTCTGACAATGAAATATAACAGTGCCCTTTCCCTTGTACATGGGAGCACTGCAAGGCCAGACAGAACCAGTGGGTAAAAGTAAATGATTTCTGTCTGTTCCTAGCTCTGATCAGCCAAAGCTGTGGGTTAATATAAGGAGTTCTGAGTGATCCATAATAAGTCAGAAGAAGATTTTTGTTGCTCTGGGGTTGCTTAGTCCAAAGTTCTTTCTGAAATGGAATGCTGTGTCAGGAACCATTTTCTTTTGCCAGTTAGTTTAGTCAGTCTTGACATTTGACCTGTGATCTCTGATAAGCTCTATGTCCAGGTAGTTTCTCAGTTTCCCTCATATCCCATTCCATGTTGAGATGATGCACTAAAGAAGGAAGAGAAGGCAGAAGCCCCCTTGAGTCAGTCATTCCTCAGTGGGTCTTCATAGACCCTTGCTGTGTACTGGGTCTAATGCCCAGTGCCTGGAACAAAGAATGACTAAGACCCCCACCTGCCCCAGTAAGCAAAACACTTCGGGCAGTAAGATCTCCTTTATTAGGAAAGGTTGTAGGATTCTGCCTCGTGTTTGAGATGGCTGAATAGTTGCTTATTCACATTGTGGAACATCACATTGCAAATGCATGTGAAGCAGGCACATCGATGAGAGGAGAGTAAGAGGTGAATATTCTCTTTACTGTGCCACGAAAGCTGTCACTGAGCCTTTGGCACAAGTTCCTGGTGTTGTAAGTTTGTATTGTTAGAAATGAAGAGCAAATGGGTGTCAAGGAGCACAAGTTGTAGCAACCAGTGGCTCTGGTCTCTGCTTCTTCCATGCTTTAAAGTCTGACCTACTCTGGCCAGGAGAATTGCCAAGAAACTGGTTAATACTTTAAAGCTTTTAGTGTGGAGTGAATCAATATTTACCACTCTTGTAGTTCTATAAAAGGAATGTCTGTAAATAAGAGACAACCATTTGGCTTCCTAAGGGCAGTGATTACTTAATTTTTTATTATTGTTCGCTGGTTGTATTCTTACTCTTTGGACTTGAAGGTTTTTTTGTTTCTTTTTTGTTTTGTCTTTCTTGTACAAAAATTTTGTACAAAAATTTTCTAAGCTCCATTCTAGTTCTTAAATTCCCCAATTTTATATTAATGTGAGAAGATACTGTATCAAAGACAAAAGAGCTTGAAAATAAGGTTTGACACTGACATCATTTATGTGCCGTTCTGCCCTTAGGTTCAGTGCCATACAGTGTGCGGCTGCAGTCCCAAGAGCTCCTGCAGAATCCTTGTCTTCCAGAAAGTTTGACCAGTCAGATCTTCCGGCATCAAGTGAGACACAAGCCAGTGAGCTGACTACCAATGGCCATGGTCCACCTGCCTCCAAACAGGTTTCCCAGCAGCCCAAAGGAATTATGGGCATGTTGGTTTCTAAGGCTGCTACTAAACCCCAAGAAACCAACAAAGAAACCAAACCAGAGGCCAAAGAAATAACAAATGTAAGTCTTTTATTTATTTGTTTGAACCATATATATTTATTTATTTACAAGGTCTTGCAATATAGTCCAGGCTGGCTTCAAACTCAAGACCCTCTTCCCTCTCTGCCTCCTCAGTGCTGGGGTTAGAGGCATGAGCCACCATGCCTGGCCCAGTTTAAAGCCTTTTAATTCCTAGTATTCCCTTCAGAAATAGTCCTTTTTTGACCACTTCTCATCACGCTTTGGATCTTTGGATTCTGTACATGGGATCATTGTGACAGCCATTGAAACAATGCATCTGAAAATCCCCCTAAAAAGTGTGAAGTTCAAGGATCCATGTATTAGCACTGTGGTAGTTTGAGAACATCTTATACCTGAGTTTTGCCATATGTGTCTCCCTGGTGTGTTTATTCTTACTCTGTTTATGCTTTTTTTTCTTGCCTCATTTGTCATTCACTTTTCTTTTTATTGTTCAGTAATCTAAACTAATTTAAGGGCATTAAGAAAAATACCTCTGACTTTTATGGTGCATACCTGTAATCCCAGTACCCAGGAGACTGAGGCAGGAGGATTGTGAGTTCTAGGCCAGCCCGGGCTTCATGATAAGACTATGTCTCGAAAAGAAAAATACAAAGATACTGCTTTAAAAATCCAGAGAAGTACAATTATTATTGTTACTACTAATTTTTACATCATTGTCATTTTCAAGTTTCTGCTTTGGGAAAGAAGAGGGAAAGAGGAAAGCACAGACATTTATTAAATTCCTACTGTGCACCAATAATAGATATTTCTTTAAACCCTCTTAACAATTCTGTTTGAATCTTGCCATTTTTATTTTGTATGTGGTAAAATTGCTGCCCAGATTTGTTATGTAATTTGCCTGTAGGTCATATGGCTATTTAAATGGTAGGACTAAGATTCAGATCTACTGATAATTAAAAATACCGTATTTTACCCCCTTCCCCATTGTTTGCCATACTACCTCTGATTTAATTCTATTAAGCCAGATAGGGTGGTTTTTTTTTTTAACTTTTTAAAAAATTTTTATTTATTATTTTTATTTTATGTGTATACATGTATTGCCTGCATATAGGTAAGTGCACCCGTGTTGTACAATGCCCATGGCGGTCAGAAGAAGCTGTTAGATCCCCTGGGACTGGGATTACGGACAGTTGTTAGCTGCCGTGTGGGTGCTGGGAGTCAAACCCAGGTCTTCTGCAAGAACAAAGCAGCGTTCTTAACCACTGAGCCATCTCTCCAGCCCCTAAGCCAGATAGTTTTAAGTGTGTTCAAGAGAAACTTAGATATATTCATAGATAATTTGTAGAACTGTTAGAAACACAGTTTGGGAATTAAGGTCAGATACTATTTTGGGTTACTGTTCTAGGTTCTTATTTAGTATCTGCACATATGGATCATTAGAGTTAGTACTATCAGAGCAGAAGCTTTTAATGTATTTTATTTATTATTTTTATTTTATGTATATGTGAGCGCACCCATGTCATGCAATGCCACAGAGGTCAGAAGAGAGCTTTGGATTCCCCTGGAACTGGAGTTAAGGACAGTTCATAGCTGCCATGTGGATGCTGGGAATCGAACCCGGGTCCTCCACAAGAGCAGTCAGTGCTCTTAACCGCTGAGCCATCTCTCCAGCCCACATAAGCTTTTTAAAATAATTTTTTTGATATATTTATGTTTATTTTATGTGTTATGAATGTTATGATTGCGTGTGTGTTAAATGCACCTGTGTGATACAGTTCCCGTGGAGCACAGAAGAGGGTGTCGGATTCCCTGGAACTGTAGTAATGGATGGTTGTTAGCTCCCTTGTGAGTGCTGGAATTCTAACCTGTGTCTTCTGCAAGAGCAGTCAGTGCTCTTAACCACTGAGCCACATGTCCAGCTTCTCTCATTTAGTCCATGTGTGTTTTCTATGCTTTCAGGCATCTTCGGCAGGGGGCAAAGCACCAGGAAAAGCTAACACGATGAGCAATTTTTTTGGAAAAGCTGCAATGAGTAAGCATGTTCTTAATTCCTTTAACTAGCAAATGAAAGTTAATGTAGTAACACATATTAGATCTGCAGGCCGTTTGTCTAGTTTTTACCCATCCAGACAGTCCTGCTTCCTAGCATAAATTCACAGTGTATTTAACCAATGCATTGATGAAGGTAACCTTCCAGCCCAATGGACTTTCTGGGTTAGCTGGGTACACTTAAGATCTCTTGGAGGGTAGCTTAAGCTATTTCTTCTTTTACTTCTTCCATTAGAAACCTTTTGCCTTAAATTATTTTTTAAGATTACTCAAAGTATCAAATTAAATCTCAAGTGAATATAGGTAGTAATGGCCATTTAAAGAAATTATATTTTTGAGGAAGCCAAGATCTCTTTCATTGAAAAAAAGAAAAAGAAAGAATTGTCTCTTGTGGAAAGGATCAATAGTCCCATATCTGTGTGCTTCGTGTCCCAAGCACATAGTCCTGAGGGTATGTGGCAGGGTACTGAGAACCACAGAACTGAGAATGCAGGCCAGTGGCCAGCAGAGAGAACTGACTCCTCTGATCTCCACATGCATGTGGTAGCATATGCCCACTCACCCACACACTAACTAACTAACTAACTACCTAACTAATTAACTAACTAACTAACTAACTAACTAACTAAATATTTAATTTGAAAAATAAATCTTGAATATTTTTAAGTCTTGCTTTTGCCCTCATTTAGGGCTGATTGCTGAGTGCTTAATGGGTGGGACACAGAAATGAAATGTTATAGCTGGGCTAGTCATTTGAAAAGAGAAATGTTTTCTGAATTGACCATGAGCTCTTTCAGGGCAGGGACTGTTTTCTATCCTTGTATCCCTTGCTCCTAACGTTTTCCCTGGCACATGGTGGACTGTCAAAAGAATGATGGATTAATATTGCATGATGGGGTTATATATCGTCTGCTATACTTTATTTGTAGATAAACTTAAAGTAAATTTGGATTCAGAACAGCCAGTAAAAGAAGAAAAATTAGTGGAGCAACCTCCAGTGTCTGTCACTGAACCAAAGCTGGCAGCTCCCACAGGTCTGAAGAAATCCAGCAAAAAGGCAGAGCCTGTTAAGACGCAGCAGAAGGAAAAAAAAGGGTAGGAAAATTTTGTCCCCTGGGGGAGGGGGAGTGTCTCCTGGGGGTGAGAAGGTCTCTTTGGACTTACTTAGAGCAGGCAGTTCCCAGTTCATACTAAATCCACTTAATGCCTTAGCGATAGAACTGTACACCTAAAATGAAGAGAGCAGCTCTGTGGTTTATCTAATGAAGTAGGATCAGCCAGTTTGGGTGATTTAGGACCCAAAGCTGTATTTTGTCCCCATTGATGTAAATTGTTCATCTTCCCTACCCCCTTACTTCAGTTTAAATGTGTGCACATCATGTAAGTGTGCTTGTGTGTTTTTGTGTGTGTATATGTGTGTGTGTGTGTGTGTGTTTGTGTTTCATGTCACATTACCCAATGAGAAGTTACTGTTTCCACTCCAGTTTAAGAGAAAAAGTTCTTTGTTTTCTTTTTATATCAACGAGTTTATTTTTCAAGTGGTAAAATGTAATTAGAAAAGAAAATAAAAGCACACAAGCTGTTAAAAATGGATCCAGGAGTTTGAGACACTACCTCATAGTTGGTAGGACTTGGTCTGTTGAAAGAAATTCTAAGGACACTGTCAGCACTGATAGGCCCACAGAGAACTGACTTTTGTGGTAAGGTTGGAGCAGCTTTAGTAGGAAACATCAGTAAAATGGCGACAATTCAGAGGGTTATGGCCCTGTCCAGTGGGCCTCACCTCCTGGGAACATATGATATAGGTGGATTAAATGTCTTCAACCATGATTATGACACTCACTGTTGGAGGTTGTTGCCAGGAGTACTCAATATTTCACTACTAAATAGGAAGTTAAATGTAGGCTTTTAGTAGATGTCCTTCACTGATTGAGAATGGTCGTTTCTTGTCCAAGTTTGCTGAGAGGTTTTTATGAATTGATCTTGATTTTTAATATGCTTTTTTCTGTCTTTACTGATGTACTTGTGTGGTGAATTATACTGAATAAAATTAAAATGTTAAGCCAACCTTGCATTCTTGGGATTAATTCCCCTTGGTCTTGTTACCCATTTTACATATTGCTGGGTTGGACTAATTAATGTTACACTAAGATTTTTTTTTTGTTTCTATGTTATTTAAATATATGATAAAATTCATCACTGAATCTGGGCCTGGGTTTTCTTTATAGGAAGGTATTATGAATTTAGCTGCTTTAAATAATGTTATTCAAAATTTTTAGTTCTTAGATTTGTTTGAATAAGTTGTGCTTTTAAAGGAATTTATTTCATCTAAGTGGTTGAACTTATTAAAGTTGTTCAGAATACGGCCTTGTTCTTTGAGTATTTGTAGAATCTATACTTATAACTACAGAATCTTGAATTATTTAATTCCTGATTAGAAGTACATGTTTTCTCGCTCTCATAAAAGGCTTATTTTACTGTTTTTTTCTCCTTGGAATAACACCTTCAGCTTTGTTAGTTTCCGTCCTTTTCCATCATATTGCTTTCTGCTCTCATTTTTGTTTATTTTACTCTTTTCCCAGCTAAAGTAGAAAGAAAAGTTGATGTTCAAAATTAAATAAGACACAGGGTGCTCAATGACATAGTTTACATGTATTTGTTTCTAACACACAATAAGCCCTTAATAAATTATTGATTGATTGAGTGAATACTATAACGGAGAAACCAGACAGAGAAGCTATGTAATGTCAAGACAGAGTCTAGGTTTTTATTACATCATTAGAATTACTTTGTGGTCTTGTCTGTGCCTTTGCTCATATTGTTCTTTCACTTTAACATATTTGTTTTCCCTCTCTACCTGTTGAACATCTACTTAGCTTTAAAAAATTTTAAGTTAACAGTCGTATCCATTACATTTTATCATGTTTTATGCTAGTGCTGCTGGCAGAAATTACTGGTTTTTTGAGGCACGTTTTCACTCTGTGGCCCAGGCTGGCCTCAGACTCAGAATCCTCTTGCTTCTCTATCTCCCGAGTGCTGGAATGACAGGTGTGTACCAACACATCTGGGTGACCAGCACTTCTGGAGAACAGTATTTTCTTCCTGGTCTTTTCATATTGTTCTTTAGCTGCTTGTTGAATGAGTGAAAGACCAGTAGGGAAAATAAGTCATTGAGAAGATTCTAGATGATCTGGTCTATAGTGAACTAGAGATATCTTTTATTCTGGTCACCCTGTAAAGTGATATAGTTGTGGTTAACTAGTAGCATGTATCTCAGAAGAATCAGTCCTTTGTCTACTTTGTTTTCTACCCTGTAGAATTAAGACTATGAGTTATAAAACAAGAGGCATCGAAACAAATACTTAGATTGTTCTATATAACATGCTTAATTTATTCCCTGATGCAACAGGGGGAAGCGAGTAGAGTTATCTGATGATGAAGCAAAGGAAACAGAAAACATGAAGAAGAAGAGGAGAAGAATCAAACTTCCTGAGTCTGACAGCAGTGAAGATGAAGGTGGGCATTGCTGTAAACTTTTGCTGGGGGGATTGGTTCTTCTACTAAGCTCAAGGATCTAAAAATGGAGCTGCTTATGGATTCCAGTGAGAGCAGTCATCCTAGCATCAAGACCAATAGTACCCATTGCTGTCTGAAATCTGCTTTAGTCTTCTGGTCAGAATCCTGATCATTTGGTAACGTGAAAATAATCAGCACAGAGAAAGGAGGAATACTATTATGCATGCTGTTGGTGACTTTTTTTTTTTTTTAGAGCTAGTGTTTCTTTGGCTACCTTCATGTGATTATTTTAAGAACGATGCCTTTGTAGGCACGCCACCTGGGTAAAGCCGTGACAAGATGGGAAGAACCTGTAGCATCACTGTTGAAAGCGAGTGCCACTGTTGACCCTTCTAGGTTTAGACTGTGGATGATATTGTAAGATAAGCAAAGAGACTGAGCACAGGAGTCTGGACAGGAGCGTTAATGTGCTCTTACAAAGAATATCAAGTATTTTTAATGAAGATCTCATCCCAAACCATGAAAAGTATATAGAAAGAGGCTAAAGAGAAAGGTATTGGGTTGAATTATTGTATCCTGGAAAGATGCTATGAGAACTGAGGTTGAAAAGCTTGAGCTGTTATAATTTTCCAAGAATTAAAGCATAGTGTATCTAACCATTTTAAGTTATGGGACAAGATCTGGTCCAAAGGAGTTCAGCATCATATAAAAGTACATAGACAATGTAAATAAACTGATGAGAGATCGAAGAAGAATACTGAATGACAGAAAGGAACCAGCTGAGTTGTCAAAGGACAAAACTGAAAAAGCAAGAGTATGGGCTGGAGAGATGACTCACTGGTTAAGAACACCTGCTGTTTGTTCTGGTTTGTTTCTTCATTGCTGTGACAAAATACTCTGACCACTACCAGCTTGGGGAGGAAAGGGTTTATTTAGCTTACATATCCCAGCTCATAGTTCATCCGGGAGCCCAAGGTAGGAACTCAGGGCAGGAACCCGGAGGCAGGAGGTGAAGCATAGGCCATGGAGGAATGCTGCATGCTGGCTTGCTTCCCTGGGCCCTGCTCAGCCTGCTTTCCTATTTAACACAGGCCCACCTGCCCAGGGGTGGCACCACCCACAATGTGCTGGGCCCTCCCACATCACACAACAATCAAGAAGATGCCTCACAGACATGGCCACAGGCCAGTCCAATGAAGGCAATTCCCCAGTTGAGGCTCCCTCAACCCAGGTGTGTCAAGTTGACACTAAAGCTATCCAGCACACTGTTCTTTCAGAGGACCCAGATTCGAATCCCAGCACCCACATGACAGCTAACAGCCATCTGAAACTCCATTTCCAGGGAATCTGACACCCTTTTCTTGCCTCCACAGTCATTGCACAACATAGGTACACTTAGTATACATGCAGGCAATACACTTATACACATAAAATACAAATAAATAAATAATTTTTTTTTTTAATGCAAGAGTCTTACCAGAAATTGCTGTAGAGTAACTGTGAATGGTAATAGAAGCTCTCCCCAAAAGGGCAGTGGCTGTCCAAGTTAGTGAAAAACGTGTTAGATATGCAAATGACTAATGCAGTGAACAGACCTAAGATGGTGCCAGGGTGAATGCTCCCTGCTAGCGGTGCCATTTCCACTTTTTTTTTTTTTTTTTGGTCTTTTTGAAGCAGGGTTTCCCTGTAGTCCCAGCCTTCCTGGAACTCACTATGTAGACCAGGCTGGCCTTGAACTCACAGAGATCCGCCTGCCTCTGCCTCCTAAGTGTTGGGACTATAGGCATGCACCACCATGCCTGGGTCATTTCCACTTTTATATGGATTTAGAGCCTCCTGATCTTGGCTTTTATAGCCTCTGATGTTCTGTGAGGGAAAACATACCCTTCAAAAATGTGGGTTTTAGTGACTTTTTGGAGCAAGTAGGGGCAGGGCACCCCAGCAAGACACTTGGTATAGTTTTATTTCATGCCATTTATGGAAATGCTTTGAGTGACAGTACTGAATATTCCCATGTATATGAATGAAATAAAGACCATCAGGGAATACCTGACCAGTTAATTGAAATATAAGCAACTCTATGTATACACATGGAAAAATGATTAAGAAATAAGGTAGGAATATGTCAAAGTCCTCCCTGTTAACAGTCAAGAAAAAAAAGTTGGGTTGGGGGGTAGATTCTGGAAGGACTTTGAAGCCATAATTTTTTTTTTTTTTGGTCTTTTTGAGACAGGTCTTGTAGCCCCTGTAGCCCCAGCTGGCCTGGATTTGCTTTGGAGACCAGGCTGGTCTCAAACTCACATAGATCTCCCTGCGTCCACTTCTGCCCCTCTGTGCCTCTGCCTCTGCCATTAAAGGCGTGCACCACCATGCCCAGCTTGAAGCCATAAATTTTAATGTACATTAAAAAGATAAAACTTGGGGACTGGGGAGATAGCTTAGTCAGTAAAGTATTTGTCACACAAGCATGAAGGTCTGAGTTTGGTATCCTCCCCAGCACCCATATAAAAGGCTACGTGTGGTAGTGTGCACTTGTAATCCCAGGGCTAGAGAGACAGACAGGCGGATCCTGGCCTAATCAGCAAGCTTCAGATTCAGTGAGAGAATCTGTCTTAGAAAACAATGTGGACAACTCCTGAGGATCAACACCCAAGGTTGACCTCTGGCCTTTACACAAGTGTAAACATGTACATACTCACCGCCCTCCGTCCCCCCACAAAAGCTAATACTAGATACTCTAATATTATAGTCAGCTTTGCTTTAAGGAATTACTGTGGTTGATTGAACACCGCTGCATACTTATGAAACACTCAGTTCTGATCCTTAGCCCTCAAAAATAATACCCGTGGGCAATTAGAAATATGACTGGGGTTGTTTAGTTTGGAAAGGAGCACAAAGAAATGTGGTAGAGGTGAGCGACACATAACAGATGACAGAGAGCAGAGGCCCTCAGAATTTTTTCTCTGGCAGAGGTAATTTTTGGGATCTGAATTTACAAACCTTTGCCATTTTATTCTTATATTTCTTTGTCAGAAAGCCAGTGGGATTTTATTTTAAACCTTTTTACACAGTCTGTAACTTTTTTAAAATTTCTGTTACACTGAGTATAATAGCTTGATCTGCTGTCTTAAGTTAGTAGTTAGCAGATGCACACCAGGAGTAGAGGAAATGGCAGGGACTTCGGGTAAGCCAGACCTGGCTTTAAATCTTCTTTGCACCACTTATGGGTGGACGACTTGACTTCTAAGTCCTGTTTACTTCTCTAGAACTGCGATGTTAAACCGGATAGCTTTTTTGTGTGAGCACTGAGTAAGAGAACATATTAGAAATGCCAAGATATTGCTCAGTTCCATAGCTTTTCTCACTGTTGAATGTTCTACAGTGTTCAGCAGTTCTCCTTCACCCTGGAAATGCCAAAGCTCCTCTAGAAGTAAAAAAAAGATCAGGTCTAGAAAGAAGTAACATTAATGTCTACATTGTTGGGAAGAAACAGAGTTTTTATGGATATGTTAAATATTTGCTTACATTTTCAGTCTTTGTAAGTTGTTTATAGAGAATGTTAAGCGAATGATTTTTTTTTTTTTAAGGTAAGAGTAGGTATTAAAAAATATGTTGAAGCCTAGGAAGCTGTGAGTACTTTCCAGGAATTCTAATTACCCCATCCTCTGCCAGAGGACTCTTGACAAACAAATGGTTATATTGCTAGTTTGCTGGAATTAGTTTTCCCACAGTTCTTATTCTGTCCCAACAAAAGTTACTTTCCTGACATGGTGTTTCACCACTTGAATAGTTTTCATCTGAAGAGCTGCAGGTTGACTACAAATCTATTTAAATACACCAGTGCACCAAGCATTCCTTATGCTTACGTCAGTGAAAATGTGTTGAGTCAGAATGCTTGGCTTAATAGTAAAGACTGACTGTGGGCAAGTTTTTTAAAAATTTCTTTGAACTTCAGTTGTATAAGACAAATAATAATGATTTACGAGAATGAACAATTAATGTTTATAAAGTAGAAAATTTGGTTGTTTATCCTTCCTTTCTTAAGTTTAAACACTGTAATACATATACACAATCTTTAAAGTCAGATAAAACCAAGTTTATAATAGTAATCTCTACCATCTGAATCATTTAATTGATTTCTCTTGTCCACTTTCTCCCATCTGCCTTCCATCTCAGGGATTTGCTGAAATTTCTTCTTCGCTCCTCTGTTCTTTTCTCTTCCTGAGGTGTTACAGCATTTTATGCTTTTGTTGTGTTTCTTGGGGTCTGGGGGCAAGTGGAAGGAAGTGGGAGGTAGATGCTGAGTCTTCTCTGGACCTGGCTATTTCTCATCCCAAATTTCATTCAGGAAGTGATTCTTTAAAATAAACAGCCACAGTTACTGTTGCTCTGTGTTCAGTACCAGGGGAGTTATGGCATCCCTGCCTCTTTGGAGTGTGAGTCTGGAGGATGTAGGTAAATAGTTGCCTGCAGTGCCACAAGAGGGGTCTGAGGGGTTGCCACTGGGATTAAGTGTTTTCCTTGGGTAAGTCATGTGGTTGAAAAACTGAAAATAACACTTAAATGTATCACTGAGTATTCAGAATTAGTTTTCTTTGGCTTTCTCTCTGCCTAAACTTTTCCCAGACCCCTGTGGCCTAGCTTTCTGAACAGCTAGCTAGTCCTTCAGCACAATGGGCACTTGGTTCTGGGTGGGACACTTCTTTTGCTTAAGCTCCCATCATGTGTTGGCCTCCTGGGGTTGGGTTAATAGCTAGATTGAAGCTCCCATCATGTGTTGGCCTCCTGGGGCTGGGTCAATAGCGAGACTGAAGCTCCCATCATGTGCTGGCCTCCTGGGGCTGGGTCATTAGCTAGACTGAAGCTCCCATCATGTGCTGGCCTCCTGGGGCTGGGTCATTAGCTGGACTGAAGCTCCCATCATGTGCTGGCCTCCTGGGGCTGGGTCATTAGCTAGACTGAAGCTCCCATCATGTACTGGCCTCCTAGGGCTGGGTTAATAGCTAGACTGAAGCTGGACTTTTTTCCTTTTATGTTTCTGTCTCTTGTTTCCCTGAGCTTATAAAGTTTGGGGGCTCATTTCATACTTGAAGTGTATAGTTTATTGCTTCATTCTGGCTCTTACTCTGCTTCACCTCTTTAGGTCCCCTCCGCTGTCATAATTTTTAACACTGACCTAATCAGTTGGGAGAAATTCAGATCCAAGACTTGTGTGAAGAATTTGAATGTAGCCAGGAGATTCAGGGAGCAGGTGAGGCTAAGCAGCTTACCTCTGACCAGCAGTGTCTGTGGTGATTAAGCAGTAGGTCAGCCAAGGCTCATTGCTTCCCCTCACATGGGCCTTCTGCTGGGACCACTATTTCTTTCCTGGGAAATGTTGGAACTCTTCCCATTAGTGCCATTCTTTCTCTGGTACCATTCCCATAGTATTCCTTCTCTCCTTTTTTTCCCTGCCACTCTCAGTATGGCAAAGCAAGACTCATCAGTGGAGAAACCACTAGAAATAAATCTCATACAAAGTATTAAGCAGGTATAGTTGTTAGAGCTTTGGTGAAAATTATCATTTTAAAGGTGATCAATCCCAAATTCATACTCTCAGTATTAGGCACCTGTGAGTAATCCTCAGATCACAGTAACAAAGATGCTGATAGGGAGTTTGTGGTATAATCTGAGGTTGTCTCCACTTCTTGTTTTGAGAACAAACAGTGATCATGAAGGTAAGGCAGCATGGGTGGTTGGATTAGGAAGGCTGTGTAATCATACTGACTTGGGTTTAAACCCTCTTGTTGTTACAAGTTGTGTGTCTTTGTCCAGTGAAGGAATCTTTCTGAACCTCTGTTTACTCAACTGTAATATGGGAGTAAAATCTGTTAGGGTAAGGATCAAGCACCAGATGTGATACATGGTAGGTGATCGGTATATATAAAAGAACCTCATGCTCTGACTTAGCTGTACAATAAAGCATTGGCTGAGATAGTATTTAAGGTATTGCCAGTTTTATTAATTCTTGATTCTCTGATTTTAATTATGTAAAATTCATGTGTATTTTAAAGGTAGTGCTTCTTAATATAGAAGTTTAAAGACAGGTGCCAGTGATGGCTAGCACCTGGAGTTCTCTTATCGAAGCCTCTTCCATTTTTCCAGTCTTCCCAGACTCTCCTGAGACCTATGAAGCGGAGTCACCATCTCCACCTCCTCCTGTATTTTCACCTCCCGATCCTCTGCCCAAAGAGCTGCCTCCTATCAAGGTAAAACCCCCAGAATGCTCTACTCCATATGTCCTTTATTCCTCAGGAATGTGCATTTAACAGTGCTGAATTGTGCCTGACTCTTGCTGTAGATGTCACAGATGCCAGTGGATGGGTCTTAACTCATTGTACTCTTTTACAGTGACAGATGGACGGCCCCTCTCTTCTCACCTGAGGGGAGATGTTGCTCTAGGCCCTAGCCTCAGGAAGGTTGCAGGGGTAGATTTGGCAGTTGTTTGGTTTTTCATGACCATCACCATCAGAGCTGCTCTATGTGTTACACAGCTACAGTTGGGGCTGTGCAAAAAGAGTACCTGCCTGCATCAGGGCAAGTTGTAAGTGATAGAAGGGAACAGAGAACTCCAGTTGTTGCTCTTTGGGAAAAGGACTGGATAAGAGCAGTCCAGACTATGTCTTGCCAGCAGCAAATGGAACTGTAGTTTGGAATGCTCTTCAGCTGCTCTTATCCATGTTAGTGCAGATCATGGAATACTGAGAAAACGATGGGTTTTCACTTTTCTTTTTAATTTTGAGTTTTCTTAATTGTGTTAAGATTTATCTCAGTCTTGTATTGATCTTGTCGTAGTTGAAGAAATGGGACTAGAGATAGACGGAAAATGATACTCGTAATACATGCTCAGACTAGTTAGGAATAATGTTCAAATGCTGAGGCTGACATAGCAAGTATCCACAGCAAGGGTGAATGCTGAGAACCCTGGTCTGATTTAGGGGCATCTCTGCCCCCAGGGAGTTTCACCATGGTGCCTGTACTATCCATTGAGAACTTGTTGACTGAATGAACAGAAATCTTTCCTAAGCATGCTGCTTTTCTTTTCATGATGAAATATCAAGCCTGTGCGTACCATAAGCATAACTTACTATGGGGTAGGATTGTTTCACTTAAGTGTAGAGCTCCTCTTTCTACTTTTTATCATAATGGAATGTTGGGGGTGGTTTTTATATATTTAAAAGCTTTTCTCTATAGCTTCATTGGTCAATCTAATATCCTCTGATCTTTTAGAGTTCAAGTGGAGAAAGCAAAAGAAAACGAAGGCGTGTACTGAAATCTAAAACCTTTGTGGATGAGGAAGGCTGCATAGGTAAGGCAAGTTTTTGGCTTTAGACCTGAGATAGAGTTCTTGGCATAGTGAGGCACTGTTTGTCTCAGACTCGAATATACGTGGGACTCAGCCTCATGCGCTGCTGCTGCTCTCTGACTGGCACTTGGAGTAGTCAGAACACCTGGGCTCCTGAATAGCCCCACACCATGAATTCAAAGCATTGAGCTTGCTGAGAGTCATGTCATCTCTGGGAATTTTCTTGATCTGTGGAATGCAGGAAATATCCATTTTGCCTCTTGGTAGGATCATGGTGAAGATTCAGATGAAGAGGCTGTTTAAAAACACTCTGTCCTATGGACAATGAGAAACACTTCTTTCTTAAAATATTTTATTATTTTATGTATATGAGTATATTGCCTGCCTGTATATAAGTGCACCGTGTCGTGCAGTGCTCAAGGAGGTCAGAAGAGGACGTAGTAACTCCTGGAACTGGAGTTACTAATGGTTGTTAGCCATCATGTGGGTGCTGGGAATTGAACTTGGGCCCTCTGCAAGAGCAGCCAGTGCTTGTAACCCTGAGCCATCTCTCCAGTCCCAAGAAATACTTCTTTTAAAAACTGATTGTGTTATGAATTTCAGTAATGGAAGGAAACGCCTACACCTGATTCAACCCCTAAGCCAGAGCCCAGTCTCTGACGGTCAGTCTGTTTGCTCTGAGAGGAGTGTGGCTTGTCCTTGTTGTTTCCTGTGTGTTTCCTCTTTGTGAGCCAGGCCAGACTGCTGCTTCAGCCAAGCTTTAGGTTCTGTCCTTTCCACAGTCAAACCAGACTCCTATGGGGCTTTTAGGATTGTGTACTTAAAGCCTGTTGAGATGCTAGATCCCAATACTACACTTTTGTGTCTGGCAATAGTTACAGATTTAGGTTTGTAAGCTTTTTGGTTGGAGCACCAGTAATTGTCTCTCTCTTTACTTATGGACTTACTGCAGCTTCTTGGCTCTCCTAAAGAATGTTTTTATGTCCTGCCTTTCTTTTTCTTTTTCTTTTTGGTCCTTTTGAGACAGTTTCCCTGTAGCCCCAGCTGGCCTGGAACTCACTATGTAGACCAGGCTGGCCTCAATCTCAGAAAGATCTGCCTGCCTCTGCCTCCTGAATGCTGAGATTAAAGGCATGTATCACCATGCCCAGCCTACCCTATCCAATGACATGCTGCCATTGGATACAGAGTAGCTGTGGAGTAACAGTCTTCTGTTGACTAGCCAGTCTTTTCCTTCCTATAGACAGCCCTTCAGATCTAACTTAAGATAGAAATAACCACTCATGATTTTGTTCCACTAATCAAGTTACATAATGCATGTAACATGAATGTGAGGTGGGGGCAGTGTTCTGGGATTGTGCTTGATAACTAGTAGGTATCCATGGAAGCGCCCCAAGTGTCTTCTCAAAAAGACTGACAGATTTCTCTAATGTACTAGATTTGTGACATACCTGAAGATCTTGCCAGAATTGAAATTCTAATTCAGTAGAACAGGGGTAAGACTGGAGATTCTACATTTTTCTTGTCCTTTTCTTTTTTATTTATTTTTTATTTTATGTGTATGAGTGTTTTGCCTGCATGTGTGTAAGTGCACCCGTGACATGCAATGCCTACAGAAGAGGGCATTGACTCCCCTAGGAACTTGAGTTATGGATGGTTTTTAGCCACCATGTGGGTGCTGGGAATCAAACCCAGGTCCTCTGTAAGAGCAGCCATCTCTCCAGCCATTTAGCCATTTATCTTTTTCTTTACTTTCTTTGCAGAAGGCTTGAAGGCTGGCTTCAAACTCAAGATTCTCTTGCCTCAGCCTCCAAGTACAGAGATTACTGTTGTCTGCCACCACATCGGACTGAGATTCGGCATTTCTAATAGGATTACTGGAGAGTCTAATGCTTCTTCTAGTATGAGGAGCAAAACTGGAGTGATAAGGCCTTCCAAAACACTTAAAATGTTTATTTAAAGCTCATCAGTGTTCTTGAACCTTTCGGAGGGCAGGAATCATCAAAGTGGGTTCTAGGCTCTTAAAAGTAAAGACAAATCCTAAGAACTCTTAGGAAGGGATTGATTATGTAGTTCTAATGGGAGTATTGGATATGAGCTAAGGATGCTACAATGGCAGGAGCCAGTTGACCTCCAGCAGAGTACATTAGGAAGGAAAAAGTCTGAAGGGTACTTGCCAAAGACTGTTAGGTACATCTGTATATGCTGAGAGTCAGTAGTTCCCCATTTTAGTGGCAAGGTAAACAGTAATTTGTCGTGTCAGTGAGGTACCGGGTTAATACTGGTGCATGTTAAAATTGGACAGTCCAGATATTAGAACATAGCTTAATATCCAGTGCCTGTACCTCTAGAATAATTTGACTAGTACATTTCATTAGAAAGAATTATCACAATGGGACTGGAGAGATGACTCAGCAATTAAGAGCACTGGCTGCTTTTGCAGAAGACCTGGGTTTGAATCCCAGCACCCACATGGCAGCTAACAACTATTAGTAACTCCAGTTCCAGGGGATCCAACAACCTCTTCTGTCCTCCTTGGGCACTGCATGACACAGGTATATTTATATGTATGTAGGCATAGCACTTATACACATAAAATAAAAATAAAGTTTTTTTTTTTTTTTTTAAATTATGGGGCTGGAGAGATGGCTCAGTGGTTAAGAGCACTGACTACTGTTGCAGAGAACCCAGGCTCGATTCCCAGCACCTACATGACAGCTACTAACCATCCTTAACTCCAGTTCCAGAGGAATCCGAAGCCCTCTTCTGACCTCCACGGCATTGCACCACATGGGTGCAACTGACTTACATGCAGGCAATACACTCATACACATAAAATAAAAATAATAAAATATTTAAAAAGAAAAAGAATTATCACTATATAAGAATTTGAAGCTATCATTGTTTTTTAATGGGAAAAAATTCCTTTGACTTCAATCTTTTGAGCATTTTTACACACAGTGGGTTACCTTTCCAGCCAAGGAAAGGTATTTCCCTTCACTCTTTCTCTATCACTTGCTGCATCCAAAAAAGCAGAGTAAGAATTTAGTGGTGTTGCTGAAGCTCTGTAGTCACAGGAAAGTGTTGTTGTCCGGTGGCCTATGGCTGGTGCATGTAACACAGTGGTATTGATAGGTCTCTTCACCCACTCTGTGATAACATGAATGGAAACCACTGCTTTTCCATGTGCCCCCAGGGCTTGCTTATGGTGACTGCCCAGGGAGTAGTTCTTTTCCAGGTTTTCCTTGAGGGGAGTTTTGATGTCAGAAGAAAGGGCTAAGGCTAATTATAATTATGCCTTTGGCTGCTGGGTAAAAATAAGGTAGCTTTGTTTTTGGTATCATTGTCCTTACCTTTCAAATGTATCATCTAGTAGGGTTTGCTTGGGGGCAGTTATCTTCATGGTGTAGACTCCAACTAAATCTTACTACTAGTCAGTATTAAAAACTGAGCTAATGAGTAACATGTTCTGTTTTCTGTGCTTAGGATATGCACAGTGTTGAAGCTAGGATGGAGTTAGCTGGAAGAGTCCATGGGGGAACCTGGCTAGGCAGAATGAGGGATATGTTAGGCCAGAGATTGACTAGGAAAGCCAACAGTGGGAAATAGGCAAGCAGTGTGGACCATGGGAATAAGACTCAGGAAGCCAGTCAAAGAACGGAGTTCCGAGTATTTGAGATAGAGAGAGTCATATGCAGAGTTCAGGAAATTAGCTAGTATAGACCAGGACTCCGGTAATGGATTTGGGCAGCTAAATGATAAAGGCTCATTTAATGGCATGGACCTTGGCTGTGAAGGAGTAGGGATGAGTTCATTCTCAGCACCACCTAGAGGCCCTGTGAGCTCAGGTTTCCACACACTTTCTACCTAAGGCTAGATGTCATCTCCCAGTAAGAAAAAGGGTCTGAAAAAGATACAACTCTTTCTCTTGATAAATAACGTGATTACCTACCCATGTTCCCTTTTTTCCATATTCTAGTGACTGAAAAAGTCTACGAGAGTGAATCTTGCACAGATAGTGAAGAGGAGCTTAAGATGAAGACATCCTCTGTACACAGGCCTCCTGCCACAGCTGTGAAAAAAGAGCCCAGAGAAGAACGGAAGGGCCCCAAGAAAGGGACTGCTGCTCTGGGCAGAGCCAACAGACAAGTGTCCATTACTGGCTTCTTCCAGAAGAAGTAAATGCCGTCTTGGCAGGACTGGAGTGGTCAAGGGAGAAGACCAAGAAGACTAGCCTGTCACTTACTGTGTAAGTTCGTCTAGCTCCTTGCCTCACCTGCATCAGAAGACTGTTCTTCTGTCCTGTGACGCTTGTAGTGTTTCTGGTTTTTAACCAGAAGGGAGTCACCTGGAAGCACAAGGCAAAAAGAATATTTGAAAAGCTGTTACCTTCTAATGACATTCTTAAAGCACAATCTTTGACCTGGCTGGGAGAAAAATCCACTCCAAAACTAAATTGGAGCAGGTTTTAGATTTACCTGGCATGCCCTTCACCCTCTGCCGTGCCCTCTACTTGTGTGGCTCAGGCAGTGTTCGTTCTTGGTCCTCTGTGTTCTTTGAACTTGGGAAATGTTTTTATTCATGAATTCTACTGGATGTGTTCACCCTACTCCTTCCTCTCTCTGCTACCACATACACCTCTGTCTTCTAAGCACATAAAGCTATTTTCTGAAAATCTTTTAAATCTTGGACTGAAACAAAAATCTTCTGGTAATTCTCTTCCTTCATTATAGACACTGACACCTGGCTCCAGGCCAGACATTGCTTATTTCTGTTCCTTTCACAAAAGCTCTCTAGACCTTCACTCACATTAGTGGTTAGGGAAGAGCTTTGGGCAGAGTACAAACAGAAACTTCATGATGTGTCCAACTCCACCAGCAGTGACTTGAGTCTGTATGAATGATGCTGGCAGAGCTGTCATGCTCTGGCACAGGGTATGCACTATTCTGTCTTCATGATTTCTTGCTCCCTGCTTTCTCATTTTTGATACCTAGAGAGTAAAACCCATACAGTGAGATGGAGGCATAAAAAGAGAAATGCTTCCTGTGTACCAGACAGAATTTCTCCTCTCAAGGAAATGGGAAGTCTGGAATTCCTGGTTTCCAGGAAGCTAATGAAGAACTTAAGGCACAGATTGATGCACAGATATTGCTCGGGATTTGTAACTCCTCCATCTGCCCAGCAGTATAGGCTCTCCAAGAAGAGATGGGCAGGCTGATTGGTTAGTGGAGCTAAACAATAATTAAAACATTTCCTTTTGTGCTTCTAGAAACCATCTGTTCCAATAGCTTTCACATACCTTCCATTACAGCTGGGCAGGTGGTGAGCCCCATGGTCCAAGTGGTGTGGCAGTGGTCCTGTATCCTGAGCTCTGGGGAAGGGAACACAGGCAGGACTGGCCATGTGACTCACCCATGGCAGGCAAGGGATGTCTGAGCTGCTCCTTCCACCTCAGCCTGGCCTGTGTCATAACAGATATAATAAGCTGCCCTGTGTTGAAGGTTAGGATTGTGACTGACCTTGGAAGTAACACAAGCTGCTTTAGCATCCAAGCATAGAGTTACCCAAGACTAGCAGCTTGGATAATGAGTCCTGGTCTTCAGTCTTAAGGCTTGAGGGCAGAGGCTTTGCACAGCAAGCTGAGTCAAGGGTGTTGTATTCCAAAACCTCCCTCCTCCTTTTTTATGCAAATGAGTGAAAAACCTGGACTTAAAGCTTGATTCTTCAGGAGAAGAATCCCTTATTTTAAATGGTTATTTTTGTCATCGCCTCTAGTCATTTTTCTGAATAGGAATGGAAAATTAAAAAGTAGCAATCCACTCTTTTAAAAAAAAATATATGTTGGGATATCTAATAAAACCACATTTGAATTGGAAAACTCTGGTACAAGTTGGAGTTCAATCTTTCAAGGGATAAAGCAAGTCCTGTTATATCTATGCCCAACGTGCCACTTAAATTCTGAGCTGTCTGCAAAATTCAGTAAGCATTGAATGGTGGCTTTTTTTTTCCTTTTCATTTTATTTAACACTTTACTGTGTTATCCACAAGTTAAATAAATTTGAGGAGGTGTTTTAAAACAGTGCTTCAAACTGAATCTGATGAGTCTGTTCTTTGATGGCCTGGCAATGGTGTGCAGTTATCTAAACTATGACCAGGGAGGAACAGGCTTGCTTTCAGTTTATATTGTTAAAAATGCATACCCATAGTCTGAGATGGACAAGTTATTTGCTGTCTTCATCATTTTTTTCAGTCCAGTGGGTAATCTTTGTTTCAGCCAACCTCATTTTTCAGTTCATTTAAAAGAAAGTCTAGTCCTGGTCTTCCATTTTGCATTACTCCAGGTTTAACAAAGTAGAACTGAAAGGAGCCACGCTGAATTGTCAAGACTGAGCTAATCTGATTGTAACATCAGTTTGGCCCATGGTGGCAGGTGTGGAGTTGCTCTGCAGATGCCGAGTCCCATCTTACGTCCTAAGTGATACAGTCAGCTTCCCGCTTCTTGAAATGTTACCCAGCAAAGGACCCAGACAGTATCCTCTCAGAGACCTTCTGCCAGTACACCTGCTCAGATGGGGAAGATAATTATCCTATTTTATGACGGTTTAAAAAGTAGGGTTTGTTTTTTTTTTTTCATTGAAAGGTTTATAGATGACAGTATCTACTATTCATTAGAACATTCATTGTATATCTAACATGTGCCAGGTCACAAGAAGGTGTAACAGAAACCGTAGAATTTGTCTCATCTTCAGGAGCCAGTGGAAGACACAAGACAATAAAATGGAATTGCAGTACCATACAGTGATAGGAAAGCAGTGACAGGAAAGCACAGGGTCTCTAAGAGGTCCTAAGAAGGTGAGTTTCAGCAGGCTTCTTGGAGGAGAGCGAACCAAGCAGTTCTGTGATGGATGCATAGGATTTTACCAGGCTTTTTGGGTAGGGGTGGGGGAGTAGGTTGTAGAATTTGGCAGGGGGGTGGTTGAGACAGGGTCTTCCTATAACCTCTGCTGGCCCAGAACTCACTATGTAGACCAGGCTGACCTCAGTTTTATAGAGATCCGCCTGCCTATGCCTCTTGAGTGCTAGAATTAAAGGCATGTGTCACCACACCCAGCCTTTAGAGTGTAGAAGTTTTTTTAACTTTTTTTTATTTTATGTGTATGCATGTATTGCCCTCATGTACGTAAGTGCACTCATATTGTGCAATGCCCTCGGAGGTCAGAAGAGGTTGTTGGATCCCTTGGGACTGGAGTTATGGACAGTTGTTAGCTGCCATGTGGGTGCTGGGATTCGAACCTGGGTCTTATGCAAGAACAACCAGTGTTCTTAACCACTGAGCCATCTCTCCAGCCCCAAGTATAGAATTTTAAAACGGGAAAATATAGAAATTAGGGTTCCTGCCAAGCAGTTTGAATTTACTTGTAGATAATGGGAGAATGTTAAGAGGAGTTAGGAAAACCATTGGAAGTTGGTGCCCAGTGATGAGGGACAATGCTGTGCTCATGTATGCTGTGAGGTTTAGTATGTGAGGTTTAGTAGTGTGATTAAAACATTAGTAGTGGGATTAAAACATTGCACTTAGTTCTGGCAGCCAGTGTAGACAGTTTCATTGTTTGCCTTACTTCCCCTCCTCAGCTTGGATTTTTGTAGCAGAATCAGTTTTTAAAAGGTGATTTCAAAAGCTGATAGCTCCTGCCACTCAGTGATAGGAGCCTCTACCCACCTCCTTAACACAGGATGGGCTGGGGCAGGACGGGTGGAACAGTCCTTTGTTTTCCTATCTTTGTTTTAAGAAGACATTAGTTGTTATACAGGAGAAGCTGAAGAGAAAAGCCTTATAAGGAAACTAAATAGCTTCTTCAAGACATGAGTAAAACGAGTGCCTAATAATGTATTTGCAGAGACATACTCTGTGTCAAGACTCATTTTGGTAAACTTGTCTCCTTTCATTGGCTCCAGGATCTTGGGATGCTGTAATGCAGCTTTTACCACCATGAAACCTTCAGGGGCTGCTCGTTTTCGTTGTGAGAAGGCAGAATTGCTTTCTGAGTTATTACCCTGGCGGCTCTGCAAATTAGCCCATGCTGTCACCATGCCCTCTCTGAAGGGCACATTGTACCCAAATAACTGCACTTAGGATTGGCTTTTGCCATCCCTGCTGCATGGCACTTCTCCCCCATTGTATCCGTGTCCAGTTTTTTGTGTTCTTAAGTGTGGGCCACCCACAGATGACCACCCAGGCTCCTTAGTGAAGCTTGGTAAGGCTTCTGATCTAATAATTTTCCATTGGATCAGAACCCACCGTAACTCCAGAACTGCCCTTCCATTTCAAACCTTAAGTGTTGTGTGAGTCTCTGCGCTCCTCCTCCTCCTCCTCCTCTGTTTTGCTCTCTGGCCAGATTCCTTGTTTCTGGAGGCCTCCCCTTGGCTCTCACCACCTTCTTTTTTAAGGCTCAGAGTTCCCTGTGCCTAGTCCATCTTCAGCTGCTTTTGGTGTTTCAGGCTCTGTCAAGGTTTTTCTTCCATGTGGCACGTCTGTTCCTGGACTGTTTTTGAGTGACTAATGTCTGTTTGGATCGTTCAAATGCAAAGCCTCAAGCTCTGGTTGAATGCTAGTTGGTCCTGGACAAGATACATTGAGGTTTACAAAGGCCCAGAAGCTACCATTTTTGTATAGGACCTATGCACAGGCTGATCTGGAACTCAGAGATCTGCCTGCCCCGGCCTCCCGAGTGCTGGGACTAAAGGCTCAAGGGCTGCTACGCCCTGCTAGTACATTTTCTTAGCTGTCTGAACTTCATTCTCTTCATTACCACGGTCAGTGTAAGTAATGCATGATCAGGGGATCTTTAATGCGAGTCTTCCTGTTCCTCTCCCAGACTGGAGAGTTATGGACAAGAAAAGGAACAAATAAACCAGGATTGTTTCAAAAGGCCATTTATAAGATAGTGGTTCTCTCACCTGACTTGGTACATCCTCAGTAGTTGGCATATTGGGAAAACAGGGTGCTGCCATGGAAACCACAGGCTTGAGAGGCAGGGGGCCTGAGTTCAGGCCACTGAGGTACTCATACTTCAGCTTCTTCATATTTAAAGTGCATGGCTACCTGCCTTGTTGCAAACTGTTAATGAAATAATACATGGGCAGTACCTAGTATTTTGACACATGAAACTATAACAGAAGGGCCCACTTTTTGAGCACCCACTGTGTGCCAGCCACTGTTCAAGTACATTAACTCTTACTTGTGGTAACCCTTAGATGAGTACTTCCTTTTTTTTTTTTTTTTTAAGATGGTGTTTCGTGGCCTCAAAGTTGCTTTGTAGCCAAGGATGACCTTGAACTTCATCCTCCTGCCTCCACCCTTGGAATGCTGGCATTATAGCATACACCACCACACACAGTTTATGTGGTACCTAGGGCTTCATGCATGCTAGGCTAGCACTCTGCCAACTGAGCAACATCCCTAGTCCATAAACTTTGATTCCCATTTTGCATATGATGAAACTGAGGCAGATCACAGAGTTAGGATGTACTGAGGTAGGATATAAATCTTGACAGCTTGGTGCCATGCCCAGCCTTGACCACTGTGTAGTATCACATTTTGGCTATATGTTAGTTTGTAGTTCTATTCTGTCCAGTGATGGCTGATGTTCATTTTTGTAAGTGAAGGCGCAACTACTTGTTCAGACCCCGTATTAGATGTTTATATCAGCCACTCATACCCGAGTCCTTCCTACAGCCTCCCTGCCAAGTGCTCTGGAATCTATAAACAAAGATCCAGTTAAGTTCAGAAGCCAGATAAGTAGATTAGTAAACAAAAAGAATTAAAAAGAAGTTAGAAGAAAAATCTGATAATCTTAGGTCACCAGGAAACTCTTCTAAGTAGAGTACTCTTCCCTGAGCAGTCTATTTGGTTTAAGTCAAAACTTCTGTTTTCCCTGAAAAAGTCATCCAATTCTTGGTCTTGCTTTTGACTTAACCTCTATAAGAAAAGCAAAGAAGTTTGGCATTTTTGTATCTTAATTAAGCTGCACTTCCAGTATACAACAAGAAAGTGGCCCTTGCTGCCCATGATTGCAGCCAGGTTAAGCCAAAGTGGCATTCTCCATTTAAACATCCAAGCCTTGTCTTGGGCTGTGGGGATGGCTCAGTGGGTAAAGCACTCACTGTGCAAGCGTGAAGACCAGACTGCAGATCCCCGCCACCCCAGTCAAAGCCAGGCAGGCAGTTATGCACTTGGTAGGGGGAGACCGACCCCTGAGAGAGCTGGCTGGCTAGACTAGCCTAATTTGCAAGCTCTGGGCTCAGGGAGAGATCCTGCCTCACTAAAGTGGAGAAAAATCAAGGAAGACACCTGGGGTCATCTGGGGCTTCTACACACACACACACAAACATGTTCACATGTACTCATGTCCCATACACCTGGGAACATGCATACACATGCCAAAATCTCAAAAATGACTGCCTTCCTAGTATGAAGTTAAAGTTCCTCCAACTTCAAAGGTATCTGAAAATGACATAAACAGCATGATGCTGGTGGCTCCCCTTTCAGTCTGTCATGGTCTGGGATGCTCAGAAGGCAGAACTCCTTGCAGACCATAACACCTGGTGGAAGTGTTTCCCTTTGCCCTCTAGGTAGTCTGTACTCTTATGATGTCTATCTTATTTTACCCTCTCCTACAAGGTGTTTTGTGCCCACATTTTGCAGAACAATCTCAGGGAGTTGAGCTACTAGGGCCAATGTCTCAATGAGGCAGTATAGTATGGATGGAACTAGATCTTGAGACATTGCATTGTGTGACTTCTCCACATACAGCAAGCCCTAAGAAGATCCACTTACCAGTGTACCTTGACTCTTTGAAAGTTGCCCAACAACGATGG